GTGCTTTAAGCACGCGGGGTCAAGGTAATCCAGCCCCCCCAGTCTGCAGTTGCTGGATGCCATGGCGAAGGCAGCCAGGTCTTTCTCCTCTTGATTCTGTGGCAAGGAGGGTGGGGCTTCCTCGGCTGGTTTTTCAAACAAAGCCAGGTCGGGGGCGGGCGGGTCCTGCACCAGCACCAGGATGCTGCTCTCCACCACCCTGGCCACCTTCGCGTACTCCTTGCTGGCCTTGGGAGCGCCGGCCTTCTCTGTCTGGCTGCCGTTCTCTTCTTGTTTGGGGAACAATGACAATGCTCCGTCCTTGTTGACCTTGTGAATCTCCACGTAATCCAAGGGTTTAGCAGAGATAATGGAGGTGTCCTCCTGGGGCAGAAGCCACGGGGTGTCTGGGTCAGTCTTGGAATGGAAGCTTTTCACCCGGCTCTGCTTGGCTGCCTTCTCCTCCCCTCCAGTCTCAGTGGTTTCCAAAGACGTTAGAGCACACTTGTCTGTTTTGTCCAATACGGTGGCAGAGGAACCTGCCGTGCCCGGATCCAGCTTACACACATCAGCGATGTTGTGGTAAGACGACCTGGGGTTGTGCTGGTTGGGGGGCTGCGATGAAGGCCATGTTGAAGATTTGGGTCCATCAGCACAGACATTGGGGACTCGGCCTTCCACGCTGGTGCTCTGAGAGTCCCAGGTGTGGGCACCATTTTCTTCAGGGTTCTCTGGCTCCTTAATGCTCCCAGGAGTGTGGACTGTGGAGGGACTTTCCTGGGACCCCTCACGATTGTTGGACAAAAGGGAAGGGCTGTCACAGCTGCCTTGGCCAGAGTCACTGTCAGGGTCCAGGGGTGTGGGCTTCAGCCTTGGATCGGGGTGTTCTTTTAAATGGACTTGCACCGGTTGCTGGTTCTCATTGTCAACGACTTCTAACAGCTCCACCAGCAAGTCCTCACAGTCAGAGGGGAAGTCCTGGCACCCCAGGGCACTCAGCAGTTCTTCAGACTTGCCCTTCTGTTAAAACAGACACACAAAGAAGGGCTGTGAGCTTCAGAACATTCCAAACCAGCACCAAAGCGCAGCTGTGCTCACGGCCACGGGCAGCTGGAAGCTGTGACCATCTAGCAGCACTTCCCAAACTGTAGACATTTGTGCACCAGGCCATCTATAATCACCTCCTAGACTTCTATTCATCTAATATTTTTCTTTAAGTCAATTCATGATTTTAACTTCGTCTCTCTCTAAGCAGTAATGACCATGAGTTTAATGGGCAGTAGTATATGCACAGATGAGAAACATAACTGTTAAAGAAGAAACGTTTACTCTGGGACTC